CCCCAAAACCCCAAAACCCCAAAACCCCACAGTGGGTAAGACATATTGAATTTTTATTTATTATCAGCAATATAATCAATCAAGATTAAATCTGATAAAAATAAAATTCTTCTCCTTGACAGTTTCAGTTTTTAGAACCACCATTAGTACCATATAATTTCGGCATGTCCAAATCCATAATCAGCCAAAATCTTATCCACAACATTCTTCTCCATTCCACACGAACCCATTCTAATCTTCTTCAGATTCTTCCTAAAATCCTCCTCTTTGGAAAGCCCAGCAATCAGGTTTTCAAAGTGAGACTCATTGTTGCCCCAGTCGCCATACGAAGAGTCTCCTCAGCTATACAAACTTAATCATTTTATCGTACTTCCAGCGAGGGTTCCTCCGAAATCAGGAACAGAAGACAGCGAGAGTTTGCAGTAATTAAACCCAAACCACTTTGTATGTCTGTTAGCGGAGAAGAGGGCGACGAGTTGGTCCTGAGAGACTTCAAATTCATAAATATACAACACTTCAGTGACTCTCTTACTCACTTCCACCAGTTCCTCCAAGTAAAAGGGAACACAACTACTCAGAGGAGAGCCAAAGTGAAAATGGAGGTCCCTCACTTTGTCTGGGAAATGGGTGGCCAGGAAAGTGTTGACTTCTTGGCAGTTCAGAGGGATGTTGCCAAGATTAAGTCTATCAATGTCTGGCATTCTCTTGTTCAGGGATGTTAGAAATTCCATGTGCTTGGGATTGTCAAGTTTAAGTGTCAGTTTAGTTTCAGGCCCGAACTGTTTGTCTTCCCCAGTGGTAATTTTGTAGAGGCGGCTGAGGTCAGAGCACTTGGAGAGGTTTAGCTTAGAAATTAGTTCCTTCTTCATGTTGTCTTTGTCCTTCTGAAGATTCTTCTTCTTTAGTTCAGATTTCTTAAGTTGTTTTTCTTTGTCAGCAATTATTCTAGACACTTCTTCCTTGTGATTTTGAAGGATTTTTTCCAATTCTTCGTCTTTGACACTCAGGGTATCCTGGAGAGCTTGCAGTTCCGTATCTTTGTCTTTCTTAAGCGCAACCATACTTTGGGCGTGTGAATCTTTCTGTTTTTCAAGCAACGCTTGCTGATCTTTGGAGTGAGTAATTTCTTCATTAAGCTTTTCAGCAAGATCTTCATATTCTTTGCCCAGCTTTTGTAGATCTTCTTTTTGTCTCTTGTTTTCTCCACAAAGATTGTGTATCCTTGCATCCTTTTGCTTAGCTTCTTCTTCTTGAGCAGCCATTCTCTGCTGAAGTTCTGAAATAGTTCTCTCAAGATCTTGTACTCTGGCTCGGAGTTCATTGGTAATGTCATTAAGCTCAGTTTCTCTGTTTTCTGATGTTTCCTTGAGTTCTTCGAGAGCTTCTTTATGCTCATCTTTGAGTTCCTCAAGTGTATCTTTTAAAGTTCTTCATTTGGTTTCTTCGTCAGCTAGTTTGGCGTCACGATCTAAAATTTCTTGCTCGTATCTTCTCTCAACAGCATGTCTTTGGTCACGAAGTTTTTCAAAGAGCCTCTCGAATGTTGCTCCATACTTCTCCCTGAGTTCTATTCTCACAAGTTCGGCACTCTTCTGATCTTCAAAGTGAGCTCCAGCAAAAGATTGGTTGAAAGCCTTGGTCACTGCAAATTTAACATAGAGTGGTTCTTCGATGAAAGCATCACAAATCTGTTCAACTTGCTTAAGCAGAGGCTTGAACATGTAGTATTTCTTGGTTTCTTTCGCTGTCTCCAGTCTCCCAAAGATACTATCAAGCTCGTCTTTGACAAGTCTGCTCAAATCATCATGTTGGGCAGAGATTCCTCCTCTTTCATGAGCTTCAGCAAATGCTAGGAAGTCTTTCCTTCATACATCGACCACTCTTATCTTGGTCTTGACAATAGACGGGTCTATCAGCAGAGTAGCATCATCCTTCGAATACTGTATCTCCTTGTGCTGAGCACACACATACAGTCCTACATCGTGTACATAATAAAGCGAAGCCTCAGTGCACTTGGCATGTTGGCATTGTGGAAACTTCATTTTTAAAATCCTATAAATTAACAAGGTAAGTTCTTAATTTATATCCTCAATGATCTCAGAAGTCCTGGGGTTTTGGGGTTTTGGGGTTTTGGGGTTTTGGGG